CATGTCGCAATCCCTTCTCCTCCATTCTCCTCTCAGGATCTTGGGCATGCACGCACACACGCCCGGCGTGAGTTTAAGCCACCGGGTCTGGGACTCAAATCGCAGTGGAGTGAGTACATGGGAGTCCAGCAACATAGCCATTACGTGGGTTTCAAGAGAGCTAAAGAAGCATGACTGTCCTGTGTTGGATGTTATCAAGAAGCAAGATTAATTCTATTCTATGACCAGACTTTTTTTAAAGATTTTTTTAAAAATTTAACTTTATTTAGTTATTTATTTTAATTTGTCCAGAGAGGGACGGGGAGGTGGAGGCAGGGAGCGGCGAAACGAGAAAACAAGCTGTCAGGTCAGGGACTCGAACTCTGGTTGGCCATGTGGGAATCCAGTGCCCTTAACCACCACGCCTCTTGCCGGCCCCTATGACTAGACATATTAATAAACCTTATCTTGAAAGAAGAATGATGAGAGAGGCTAAAGTTGTAACTGGAAAAGAAGTGGCCGTCACATTAGCTAGGACACAGAAAGATGTGTGGTCATTTTTTGACCTGGACACTGTTCATGGTTTTGTCTCTCAGACATGATTACAGTCAAGATTGCTCTTGGTTTTGCCTTGATCCACCACGGTCACAGAGAGACCCTGCCCGGTATTAAAGTCTGTGAAATGGTCAACGTTCAACAGAACACATGGTCTTGCTGTGATTGTCAGCTCTGCTCAGGCCCCAGGATCGCGAGGTCTAAGCAGGGAGTACCAGGCTGACCTTCCCACATTGGGGGCTGCTTCTCTCCTCTCAGAAGACCAGACAAGGCTAAGGGAGAAGTGGGTGGGCAGGATGTCAGTTTTCTCGGGACTTTAAGAGCTGTGCGGTGTGTTGCAAGGGGCGTGGGGGCAGAGTCAGTTAATCAGAACTGTTATGGACACTGTATCCCCTGCATGGTTTTCAAGAAATGCAAGTAAAAAAAAAAGTGATTTCAAAATGGCTATTCATCGCTAGGCTGTGTTCCTTCTATTGTGATGCTGATCAGAGATTCTGTAATCAGGGTCTTTTTTTTTTTTTTTTTTAAGAATTATTTTATTTATTTTAATTTGGCCAGAGAGGGACAGAGTGAGAGAGAGTGAGTGAGAGAGAAAGTGAGAAAGCAAGCCACCAGGTCAAACCATGGTCGACCATGTGGGAGTGGAGAGCCCTTAACCACCAGCCACCTGCCCACCCAGGATCAAGGTCTTAAAACGGGTTGACTTCCAGAACAGAAAAGTTCTGAGCCACTGTCTTCGCTGACCCACAGCTCCAGTTCCAGCCAAAGCTGGAGCCCAGTCCAGGTGGTGTTTCAAGAAGGAACGTGGCTAGGAGGGCACCACTCTTAGAAGCCAAGCTCAGGTGCCTGGCACTCCCTGGAAAACCCAAGAAGACAGAGTTCCTCCTCCAGGAAGGAAGTGGCAGCCTTGGTCTGGGTCCTGGTTATTACCATACTACCAACACGCTTAGGCAGCCAGCGAGGCCCCAGGGCAGAATGGTTTCTGCACGCAGGTGTGTGATCGTGTGGGATCACGAGGGCAGCTGAGGACAGCAGAGAGTCCTGAGAACTGGAGGGGCTCAACAGAGGCCCCCGGCCCTTTGGGCCACGCCACTGCAGCGTTTCTCCGCAGAGGCGGTTTTCACGGGATGGACGTTTGGAAGGTGCGGCTGGGAGAGCTGAGCCAGTGAGAAGAGCATAGCGGCAGACGCAGGCCGAGCCTTCTTTGGAGCTCAGAGGTCGGGAAGATGAAGCCACACTGCTGCCACATATCCACAGAGGGGACCCACCTGGGGCAGCTGGCGTGGACACGCGAGTCAGCAGGCCTCTCCTCCCACCTAGGTAGCAGACGAGGAAGGCTGGGTAGTGGGAGAAACGGAAAGAAAGCGGACAAAGCGCCACCGCCACCGTAGGAGTCAAAGAGCTGGTAGGATTCTGGAAATGGGGGTTCTGGAAGGAGAGTTGGTCGAGTTCGCGTTACCATCCCAGTCCTACTCAGAGCCACAGGACGCAGGCACGAGTCCTGGGGTGGGTCTGTTTCCTTGGTAAAGCGCGAGAAAGAAGTGGGCGGTTGTCTGGCGCCCTGGAGCCCAGCCTGGCTCTCCCAATCGAGGGGGGTGTCGGGTCCGCAGCCACGCGCGCTGAGGACGTGTCCGGTTCGGCTGCGCCAGAGGCGGGTGGAGTGCGCTTCCATCCTCTCCTTCCTTCTGCATCTGCTTTTCTCCGTCCGGGACAAGAAGCCAGTGCTCGGTAGGGACAAACTGTGCAGCCTGGCGCTGGGAAATAGGCCCGCGAGTGGGCACTACCGAGAGGCGGCGGCTCCAGGGCAGCGCCTCCGCCCCGCGCTCCCGCCCCCGGGGCCGGACGTGGCGCCTCCCCTGCGGCGGCGGCCGGAGCCTGGAGGCGGGGGCCGGAGCCCGAGCCC